AATATAATAATAATAATAATATATAAAATAATAAGAATAGAAGTTAATAATAATAATAATAACAATAATAATAATAATAATAATAATAATAATAATAAGTAATAATAGTAATAGTAGTTAATAATAATAATAATAATAGTAATAATAGTAATAGTAGTAATAATAGTAATAGTAGTTAATAATAATAATAATAATAATAATAATAATAATAATAATAGTAACAGCAGCAGTAGTAGTAGTAGTAGTAGTAGGAGTAGCAGTAGCAGTAGCAGTAGCAGTAGCAGTAGCAGTAGCAGTAGCAGTAGCAGTAGCAATAGCAGTAGCAGTAGCAGTAGCAGTAGCAGTAGCAGTAGTAGTAGTAGTAGTAGTAGTAGTAGTAATAGCAGTAGCAGTAGCAGTAGCAGTAGCAGTAGCAGTAGCAGTAGCAGTAGCAGTAGTAGTAGCAATAGTAGTAGTAGTAGTAGTAGTAGTAGTAGTAGTAATAATAATAGTAGTAGCAGTAGCAGTAGCAGTAGCAGTAGCAGTAGCAGTAGCAGTAGCAGCAGCAGCAGCAGCAGCAGCAGTAGCAGCTGCTGCTAGTAGTAGTAGTAGTAGTAGTAGTAGTAGTAGTAGTAGTAATAGTAATAGTACTAGTAATAGTAATTTACTTTTCTTTATTGTCTATTTTATCTTTGCCTCTATTGATTTCTTTGAGCTTTGGTTTTTCTAAAAATTCAAACTTGATTGTTTGTCCTTCTCTAGATGTTTCGAGACCTGTATTATTAATTGTTATGGGGTAAAATAATGTTAGAAATGGAATTCCAAGTATTACTGCCTGAATTAAATTATTTACCATAATAAAAGGTGTTGGGAAACAATGTCCATTATTGCATACCATGGCACTTGATAATTTATATTTAATAAATAATCTACTCCCATCAGCAGTATTAAGTATTTGAGTGGTTTTATCGAAATATTTGGATGGGACTAAACCTTCATTAATGCAATTTAAATCTGCACCTGAGTCTACCAAAGCTAATGTTTGAAAATGATATTCATCTTGGATAATGATTTTTACTAATAGAAATCATTTTTGTGAAATAATTTTGTTTATTAAATTTACAGATATATTATCTTCAGCTTCTTTTGTTCTTGAGGTTTCTGATTCTATATGGTTAGTATCTACTAGTTGATTAAATTCAATTTCATCTGTATCAGTTATCGTTCCTGATATGTCATTTTGTAATTCTAATATTTTAATTCTAGTCTTTAGTTGTCTTACTTCTGGTTTTATTTCATTTACTTCTTTTTTTAATTCAGATATTGTGGGTTCTCTTTGGAGTATATCTTTTTTATTAATTCGTTTGAGTATTTCAGCAAAATTATAATCTTTTGGGGGTTTGAGCAAAGGAACTAATTTATTTTTTGCTTTTGTTAGTGTAATAAATTGGGTAATGATTTATCTTTTTTCCTCTGGATCATTTAGTTTTTCTATGAGGTCTAAAATTAATGTATCTTCTTTTGATAACATATTACAAGAACATTCTTTCATGTTTTGTTCAGATTCAGATTGTTCTGTGGAGGACATTAAATATTCTTCATCTTCTATTTGTCCTAATAAAGAGGTATCAGTAGAAGTTTCAGAAGAGTTATCATATATTTGTATGATATCATATAACTTATTTCTAATTGATTCTTCTAAGATTATTGTGTCAATTTTCTTTTTCATTTTACATTGGCTTTTATAATGGATAACTTTTCTGCATTTTTAGCATACGGGTAATTTTTTTCTACCTTTATGATTTTTATATTTGGGAGAGAATCTCTTTATAAATTTTTCTTTTTTATATTTTTTATAAGATTTCTTGTCCTTCCTTTCTGACTTATGTTTTTTCTTTTTATGAAATTGATCTTTAGATTTTTCTATATGATATCCGAATTGTTCACAAAAGTCTCATAGTTCTTTTTTACCCGTCATTTTCTGTTTATTTAATTGCTTTTTTAATTTCATATCAGTGCATAAGGTTAATCCTTCTGTACATATTTCTATAGATAATTCTCTTAATGTATAGACAGAATATGGTATGATTCCTCCATTCTTATTTTTTAATCTAGTTTTTACTTTCTCAACAAATAAATATGGTAATCCTGCAACAAATTTTTCTTTCCAATGATCTTATTGGTTATCTTCTCTACTTAATAGTCTAGAAAAGAAAACATCTTTGTACCATTTATAATGGGATAGGGTTGGACATCGCAAATTAGATAATAAATCTTCAGATCGGACTTCAAGTAAGGCTGTACTCCCCACAAAATGAAGAGTGATGGTGTAAATGAGAGTATTCACAACATTACTTTCGGAATATAATATATCTTGATTATTTTCATTTTTAGCAGTCCATTGACGAGTATTAGTAAGAATTTGTTGTTTGGTATTTTCAGGTAAGTGAAAATCCCACCAACCTCGAAGCCATCCTGTGAACCCCCAGATAATGGCTTTGGCAACTTTGCGTACCATTTTGCATGCATAAGCATATGTTTAATGGTGTCTAATATATGTTGTTCAGACAATCCATCTATATTCCAATTCACTATTGATCTTCCAGAATAAGAAATATTTTGAGCTATTAAGTCTTTTTCGAATTGTATATCTACAGGAGTAAGTCTATGATGATAAGGTCTTGCTGTCAATGGTTTCCATGACTTTCCATATGTTATCCTTTGAATGTTATTGGTATCTTGACTATAACTGTTTTCAGCAAAAGCTTCTTCCATATTTTCTATTGTGTCAGCTATTATGGGTGTCTCGGCCTGCAGAGTTAAAGTAGATGATTCAAGGATAACTTTACCTTTTTGTTTTTTATCTTGAATCTCTAGTTTTTTATCCTGAATTTCTAATTGAGATAATTTTGATATTAACATATCCATTAAGGTCTTATTGTCTTCTCCCAGTTTAAATCTTTCTTTATCAAGTGTTGGAGGTGGTTTAAATAAGACATTTTTGGTTTCTTATATGGGTATAGGTCTTAACATATTCTCAATTTTGGATGCCTGCTTTCCTAATGATTGCATATATAGATTGGTGTAATTATTTTGTTTTATCACATGTGGAATTAATTCAGCTTTATGTTGTACTATTTCTCCTATAGTCATTTTATATAGTGTAATTTTTGTTTCTAATTTTAAGTCGGGATTTGATCTTTTTATAACAATACTTTTTTCAGGGGGATGGATACTTGTTAATGTATTTCCATCTATTGTCTTATATGAACTATATTGACTTTGTATTGTATTTACTTCAAAATTAAAAATATGAATTTTTCTTTCCTTACATATTTCTCTTAACCATACAAAAAATCCTTTATTATAGTGTTCTCTTTTTCATGCCTTGTTATATTTTATATGGAATAATTCTACCAATCTAAGTTGAAAATTTTGTTTATACCAAGTTCTAATTGCCTTATTTTCTTCGGACAGATAATCCAGTTCAATAAATTGTTTATTAAGTCTTTTTTCTTCCTGGATAGTTAAGACTTGAAAATCCAATAATAATGTTCAAATATAGAATGGAGATCATCTTATTTTGGAACCATCCTACATTTTTCGATATTACATCGAGATCATCTAATCTTTAGAAAATCAAATTTAATTTGTAATGTGAATACTAATTTGTTTGATCCCAAAATTCCGTAACGCGAACATTCTCCCACAAATATCATTTGCCCAAGGAAGGAATTGTACATACCCCTATGAAAGTATGATATTTGAAATCTTAAAAATACTTATATTAATGCACCCAAGATCCAAGGCATAATAATTTCCTGACAATTAAACAGATCCTCTAGGAATAGAAAAAAATAAAAGAACTGGATATGAATAGATAGAGAATGTCCCAAATAATAAACCATTGCTCAAGAGAGAGAGAGAGAGTGAATGCTGTACGTTTCAAAATCAAGCTCCAACATTACAAATATACAACGCAAGCACCCTTTTCCACTATTGCACATATTCCTTTGCAAACATTAATCACCCACACCGAGTCCTAAATCTCACAAGCCTCTATCACATTAACTCTACTTACACAAAGAACCAACACCAATCAGATCTTTTATCACTGAATTTTACATGGGATGCTCTCTCTCCCTCTCTCTCTCAAAACAGTTTTACATGGGATGCTCTCTCTCCCTCTCTCTCTCAAAACAGGTTTTTTTTTACTAGTATGATGGCGTGACATTTTTCTCATGTTTTGTTCTGGCCATATGTACCAACTACCAACACACCTGGAAAAAAAGAAAAAAACAGAAAGAACTCATTCAACATTCTGTTCAGTAATATTTTACTTGTAAGACAGACAAAGCCTTACTAGATTGAAAGGTCGGATAAAAGAGGTCTTACTTATCATAGTTTTGACATGAATTAATCAATATCTTTCACTTCAGCTTCAACGTCTACCACTGTTACAGAAGCCTTTCCTGAAAAATAAATCTAACAAAAAAGTCAGCAACAGTTAAGCTGTCGCTAACATATACATAAACGCTACCACAGCCACTACTTGATTTGCCAATTAAATCATTGGACACAATTCACCAAGAAAAAGATAAATCAAAACCACGATTGAAAGGGTGGCTAATGGAAACAAAAGGAGCAAAGAATAGCAGCAAAATGCTCAGATAAATGACACACACACACACACACACACACACACATATATATATATATATATATATATATATAGAGAGAGAGAGAGAGAGAGAGAGAGAGAGAGAGAGAGAGAGAGTA